CGCTCTTCCGATCTTACTACTACTTCTACTACTACTACTACTACTACTACTACTACTAGTACTACTACTACTACTACTACTACTACTACTACTACTACTACTACTACTACTTCTACTACTACCACGTGCTACTTCCGGTTTTGCTATCGGACCCCTTGGTTAAATAGCCAGGTGACGACGCCACCTCGTGTTCAGCACACTCTCCCTCGTGGGGTTGGCCGCAACGGCGCCCAGTGATTGTTCAGCCGTTCAACGTCAGGTTTCGGACTATGCTGGTTGCAATGGCGTCATTTGCACATGCAGCACGTTTGGTGTGGTAGAGGTGCGAGACTGGATTTGGCCCAAGATTTTGCAGAAGCTGGGCAAACACTTGTATTGCAAACCTAGCCGGTCACAGGCATCCAGTCCAGACACACGCAAATAGCACCTCAATCGGCCCAGTTTAGTAGGACTGTTGCCAGTGGCTGTTCCATCCTCGGCGCTTTCACTGCTCAGCACAAGATGGCGCCACGGTTCGGGATCCGTGCCTGACTTCATTCTTCATTTCGCAAAGAACTGCGGGACCGGCAGCGAAAGCTCCGTAACAAAGTGGTTGGCTTTAGTCAGAGTCCGGATTTGTGGATGACCAATCAACTGTGAGCGTGTTCGTTCGGGCGATGGAACTCGACTTGCAGGGGCCCCCCAGATTCCAGGCAATTATGCCAGGTATACAGGCCGCATGAGATGAGTAGGTATCGTGCAGGCCAAGCTGGTACTTGTCATGTCTTGAACCGCGACAAAACCCAAGCTCTGGCCTCTGTGAAGTCATCGGTATCAACTGCATATTGGCGTCCTGAGAACTATGTGAACAACTCCAATCAAGTCACGTGAAAATCGAGGTTCGTAGGTTTGGGGCTCAAATTCAGTTCCAGGCTGCTTTGCCAATAGAAGCAATAGAACTGACTTGCCTTCGGCATTGGGAGCACTGGCTCGGAAATCTCATACTTTCTGCAAGAGATGGCAGCCGCTGGGCGCGCGGTGCTTTCAGGGTCCTACAGCCACCTCCATCTGCTTGCTCCGAGGAAGAAGACTCCTGCCCAGAGGACAGCTGCAACTCTCAGAAATGCAGGCGAAGCGCAGGGGGAAGCGCGTCAACGCTTGCAGTGTCGGATGAGACCAATCTTAAAGTCAAAAACGATGCAGGCAAGGATTCACCCTAAAATTCTACGAGGAGGTCACCAGGCCCTCTAGGCTTTTTCGCGATTGTTGTTTTGAGGGCCGTAGGGTCCTGTCAGGCAAGACACAGCTAAGAGGACGGTGCACCAGAGGGTACGATAATTATACGCTTGGGGACATGTGGCAGGTCACGTGTCGCTGTCTCCAGACACTTGGCTTTGCCAGAAGAGGCATGTCATGTGCATGCTTGCAACAGTTCTGCCTCTTGTGTGTCAAAATCAGAGTCAGAGAGGCACCGGCCGAAGCACACCGACAAATTCTGTCACCACAATAACACCAGGCTCCTCTTAATGTTTAGTTTTCATGGTGTCTTCAAGCCCTAAACCCTAAACCCTAAACCCTAAACCCCTAAACCCCTAAACCCTAAACCCTAAACCCTAAACCCCTAAACCCTAAACCCTAAACCCTGAGTGAACCAAGGACCGGGCCGGAAGCGCAGACGCAGCAGCTGTCAAGAACCCTCTCAGTCGGGACCCGAGCTCTGTCATGCTGAGGTCTCGGAAGTTTAAGGTATTTGAAGGTTTTTTGAGGGTTTAGGGTTTAGGGTTTTTTTTGAGCCTGTAGTTGTTGTTGTCCATGGCGGCTTGGGGCACCGATCTGGGACTTTCCAAACTCGAAACCCTATTCCAACTTGCTTGCTACACAGGCCAGCTGTTCGAGCAGAAGCCGCTCCTCGTGGCAGACAGCTGACTTTGCATGACCCGGCGATCGTATATTCTGGGTTTACAAAAGCTTATACTGTAAGAAGTGCTTTGCTTGTATGGGTCCCTTATAAAGTGAGACAACTAAAACCCTCGGGTTGCTTGGAAGGTAGGGTTCAGAGCTCTTTGCGCTCGTTGAGCATGGGCCTGTCCATTGAGACGTGGATTGGGGAGGCTTCTCTCCAGGTTCTTTTTAAGCATGGAGATTTATATAAGCTAAGTTTCAAGGTGGACCCTGAACCCCGGGGCTAGAGCGTTAGGGCTCCGGGTTCAAACGCCCAAACCCTCGGCCTGCAACCAAGGAGACAGTGGGAAGGGGCCAGGGTTTGGATAAAGATATATGCTACCGCCGCTACTACTACTACTGATGCTGCTGCCACTAGTGAGTCACTTCTTCTACTACCACCACTACTTCTGCTAAGTGGCAAAGGTTTGGCTTTCATCCGAGCACGCCGAAGAGTCTGGCGACCAGCCTCTTGGCTTCACCCGGGATCCAAGGCCATAGTGTTTACCTGAGGGCTCCTATGTAGTTCCTTTTTGGACAATCTATTATGATTCCTTACCACAAAACCATAACAGACCCAAATAGGAACTACATTGGAGCCCCTACTTAAGCTTAACCAGAAATGAACCTATACCTTGTTACTTAACGTTTTTTATGTAAGGAGATGACAGAGGCGGCCCTAACAAGGTGGGTTTTAGTAGGGTTCGGATGAGCCGTCGGGGGCTGCTTCTTTTCTCCGTGTTAGATTTCACGGGCATCATTGGATGCCCTCGAATCGAAGAATCCCGGATCAGCATATCCGCTTGAACTGAACCCGTCCGTGCCTCTAATTACAGGGAGGCCCCATATCTCAGAGAAAGACCACGAATTTGTCGACATTTGGGGCGCTTACAACTCCATTCAGAATTCAAGACCTACTTACACGGCCCCCCCTGAGTTCCCAAGTTTGGTTGTGCTCGTGCTGTCTTCTGTTGCCTTAAACCCGGGTCACAAATCCCAACATAGGTAGGAGACTAGGTTGAATGCGGGTTCACCTTTTGGATCGATCTGTTGCTATGCTTGCTCTGACGTGCAGGTCAGACAGTGGCGGGTTTGAGAGATGACACCAGGCTGCAGGAGATGTCGATGTACGTCACGGCCCGAGGCTGGTAGGGGACCGTGGCGATACTGTGAGCACCTGAGTGTTGAGAGTCACCATCGCGGTGCTGACGCGGTAGTTTCAGAAAAGGTGAAAGGTACTTATTATAAGGAACTCTGAGTACGAGGCCGCTGATGTGAAGCACCCCTCTCAACCTCTTTCGAATCCTGAACGAACCTCGTGACAAGGGGCCCCTGTCCGAATATTCAAGAACCCGCACATGGCCATGTCTAGATTATGAGATGTCCCCTCGAAAGCGCTTCGACATCCGTCAGGTTGAAGCTTTGTTCAGTGCCTGGTGGCTGCTATCATGCCTCTTAGTACTAGGCTGTCGATGCTAGGATGGATGGTTTGTCACAGCTTGTCGCAAGATTTGAGGATGCAGTAGCTCCTGGATCCAACAATGCCGGCAGGAGGCACTCCGCTTCCGGCACTGGGCCCGCGTGTGGATGACGACTTGGGAACACTGTCACCGCTCAGCCGGGTCAGATCAGCAGCGAAGCAGCATTTAGTGCAACTCGCAGGTTGCAAGGTTCCTGTATACTCAACTAATTCACCGACGACGTTCTTGAAGGCTGTCGGTGAAGAAAGCGAAGATCCACCTAGCTTTGACGGGGAATCTTGGAGTTAAAACGCGGTATAAGATCTGGTGTGTTGCCATGCGAACGGCTCACTTTTACATCATGCAATGTCGTTGGCCCAGTACATATCAGGTTGTGATGCACAAGCGCAGAAGATGTCGTAGGAGCGAAAAGGTGAACATAAGATCGAGAGAGCGCTAACCTACATAGCTCATCGATCAGCCAGCACAGTACGGAAGCTTACGGCACACGATTTAGGGCCTTAAGGTCGGTTTGCTGTCGAAAGCAGGTCTAGCAAGTACTAGCAAGGTATCATTCGATGCAGGGCTTCGAGCGCACATCCGTCACGTGGTCCGCCAAACTGAAAGAGGAAGATCTTGCTCATACCTCAGGTGCCGACAGAATCCCCATCTCCACCAGCCGACAGCTCAATGCGAGCTTCCTACTCCAGGAGGGTCACAGTTTAGGTTCCGGCGAGTCTGCATCATACATTCCATGATTGCTTGCCGTATGATAGTTATCCGCATAGGTGAATCTGATGTGGATACCCAGTGTGTAGCTTCGCCCGGGCCTAGGACTCTCGGTTTCTTCGAGGGTTTAGACCGACCTCGGGTGTCCATGCCGCATGAATGTTCACGTATGGGACACAAGCTTTACATGGCAGGTATCGCAAAAGGAAAACTCAAAGCCCCCATGGTCTCAACCTGTGCCGAAGCCTTGATTGGCTTGTTCATAATTTCCAGCTTTACCTGCCTTAGTACCATCCAGGCGGCTGTGCCGCATTTTTTAGACCCTGGTGGCAAGCCCTTAACCCTGCCCTTAATCCGTGAACCCTCTGTAACACTTCTGTAACCTAACCGTTTTTCTGAGGCCCCTCCACGACGACAGTTTCAAGCAACTTTCCCAAGCTAAGCCTGCCATATGGGAGTTTCCGAAAACAAGGGGTACCTTATTTTGGGGTCCTTATAATAATAAGGATCCTATTATTTAGGGTACTATATTAGGGTCCCCTATTTTCGGAAATCCCCATATGGTGGTAGGCCTGGCCATATGTGCGGCAGAAAGATCAGAAAGCCCTAGCCGAAGCCCGGAAGTCCTAAACCCCAAACCCACAGACCTTGAAAAGCAACCCTCCAGAGCCGAAGCCCTAAAGCCCCACCCCACAGGCTTTAGACCCCTACACCTTGGGAAAAATCTCACAGGACTGCCAGAAGAGGTTTCGGAGACGCTGCGGGCAGCACTCGAGGCTTCGGCAATGCTCCCGAGCTGCAGGGAAAGGGCTTGTCCTGACGTTGGGGTTTCATAGGATGTTTACAGGTATTTGTCTGGGTCTCAGCGGGTTTTTTGATTTTGGGTTTCGGACTCCTACGATTTATGAAAGGTTCCTGTGAATCTTTATGGGGACCCCGTATGTTTTCCGACATTCCACTGTGTTTCAAAACCTTATCCTTATCATTGCATGCCTTTTCCAGAAACTAGCATGGCGAGACAAGCCTTGCATGGCAAAGCATCGCTTCCAAGACCCGGACTGGAGCTGCTGATGGGAGTGACACCTGTCTGCAGCATCGCAAACTCTGGGTTCGGGCGTAGGGTTTGAAACTTGTCAGTGTCATTGCACACGAGTTATACGTGATCGTCTGCGCGTTTGAAATCGGTCGAAGCCTGAGCTCGTGATCGCTTTTCATTGTCTACGAGCTCGTCTTGCCGCCCAACTGCACCTGCCTCCACCGAGGATGGCTACATGGAGCAGACGGGCGGATGGTCGGTGAGACACACACAGAGCGGGCTGCAGCGAGGGGGCGAAGGTGCTTCAATGCGGCGTAGCACCGTGTTTGCAGAAGGTGCGGCATTTCTGGCCGATCTGGGGCGTCAAGGTCCAGACATTCAAAGCATTCGGTCGTGACCTAATCATAATATTATTCAGTCATGACAGAATGATTTTGAGCCACATGACTTGCTACAGTACAGGCAGTACAGGGCTCACTGCTCAATACTCGGAAGTTGTTTCCAAGGGGCTCCAAAGTGCGCTTCGCTTGTTCTATTGTCCTCCATCCGAGGCAGGAGCACCTTCAATCCCTATGGCAGCATGACAGGCTGACTGCTGCATGATCTTCATATTTCGGATAAGAGTTTGGGGCATGCTGACAGTATGGTCACCAAACATCTGGAGAGTGGAGCGCTGTTGTGCCTGGGGGTGCACTGATGTCAGCACTTTCCACTAAGTTATGTTCGAATCCAGCTTTCGGCATGTCCGGCCGATGATCCATTTCCCCCTTGCTCCATTTCGTCCGTGCTTCTCGTCATTCATTACATTCGCGTAAGAACGAACCAAGAAAGCAAATATAGTCACCACGAAACATGGCGATGAGTTCATGGGCAGGAGAGTTTACCTGTAGAAGGGGTTCGCGAGCTAGGTTACTGGCGTCCGCTTTTGCTGTAGATGTAGTAGCTATTGAGTGTCTATAATAATGAACTGACATGCGATGCACGTGCGACACAACGCCTTCTTATATGTACCATGTATTCTCAAACTTATTTCTGCTCCTTGGAGGAGGCTTATCCCCACGAGCATTCGGAAAATGATGCGGGATAAACGGTCTCGATGAACCTGCTGTGGAATGAACGTATGGCTTCTTGAGCTACGCTACAAAGTGGGGATGTGCTCGCTGAGTATGATCAGAACCGCCCGCTTGTAAGCAACAAAGCTGCTGATGAGCAATCCGCGGTGTAGTGGTGGCAGGAGTTGGGAAACAACAAGAAGATAGACAAGCCAAGGATTTCTGAACTGGCCCCAAGGTCCGGACTAGTCTGACAATCGTTTCGTTTGCTTAGTATGTCAGATGGTTCGATAAGGACGGTTTGTTTGTTGTCGTTTGGTTTGCTTGGTTCTTTGGGTGATAGACGACATTGCTTTTGCGCCTGCGTAACGTAAACCAACTAGTGCGGGAACCCTAAACGTAAATGTGGCAGTGCAAAAAAGCGATAATGACAGAGGGATCCAGTTGTCATCGCCCACCAGAGTAGCTGTGTTCTTCATCAGGGGTCTGCCGCCCGGAAATGTAGGTGGTATGGCGTGCCTCCCCTCGCTTCCTGTACCCATGTAACCTGTGACCGGCGGTACAGATAGACTACGAAAAAATGCCATGTGATGTGATTTCTCGTCCCATTACTGAAACAGCTTGAACTGCATGCCCTAGTCCCGAAGTCTAGACCTGTGTGCAGGCACGAGCAGGCACGAGGGCGACTTCTATCAGGCCGGTCTCGGCTTCCTTGACCTATAGATTCCGTAGATGAGCTTTGTGCCATATCTTGGCGGTGAAGAGAAGAAGTCCACCCTCTGCCAATGCCCGAGCCAAAAAACCCTTCAGCTAACCGAGACCCTACGTCAGAGGCCCTAGTCCTTGAGCCTCCCTGCAGGAGAAGATGGCAAATCTGCCTTCCGTTGGGACCCAGTCACCCCCACGTCCGAGCACGCGTGAAGCCATCGCGAGCTTGCGAATCTTGTTATGCCCTTGGGTGCTTGTGTGTTGCTATAATACATTATACTACTAAATTACGATGGCCATAATTGTGCCGTATACGTACTCGCATGAGTCGCACTAGACCTTAAACCCTAAACCCTTAACCGTCATTGCCTCACTCTTGTTGTTAGTGCCTCTCCGCTGCTACTCTTGCGATGCTATATGACTCCGACTCCGAAAGCATGGCAGCACGGCTTCCAAACAAACTATGATGACTACTGGAAGTCTGTTCTTGTCTCCCCTCGGGCAGCAAAGGCGCAGAAGGCCTGGATACGGCTGAGACTCAAGTCCGCAAGCTGGCAAGCCTGCCGAGCGCCAACGAATCGGTTGAGGCAGGTTGATAATCAGCAAAATCTATCCCCTGTGCTTCGCGGATCCCATGGTAAACAATCCGCATGTATCATGTAGATGCTCGATTTCACATGGACCTGCTGAAGACAACTTCAGTGGCATCACAGCAAAAGGGCGGTAGAAGGGGTGTAAAGGGCGGGATTGGGAATGGGAGGGGAAATGCGACATGCGAACACACAGACATGAACAGACCCTAATCCTCTAAACCCAATGCAGGCCTAGACAACAAAGCCGTGCTGTGGGTTTGCCAAACCACGCATTTGTTCAGGTTGCGACTCGGTGGCTTCGCAGTAGCGCACGAGATCCGAGTTTGTGCAAGCAAGCGTATCTGCATAGACCTTGCAGCAACATGTTAATAAGAGTGCACATCTAGGTAAGTCTCCGTGCCGGTTCTGAGTTCCATGCCAGGGATGACCGATGACCCCAGTCCTTTGCAGCCCTTGCTCCGCAGAGAAACACTACCGACCATCAACCCGAAATGCGTCAGTAGCTTTTGAGAACATCTCAATCACAAACTAGGCATCCAATCACTGACAAGAGACTTCAATGTGGGAGAGTAACATAAACCTGCGGTCCGGGTGGCGTGTCTTTCTCCAGCATTCTCATAGCTAGCCTCACCCAGCCGACTATGATCACATGAGTATCACGTGAGCGCCGAAACCCCTCAGCCCCTGAGCCCTAAACCCCGAAGCCCCGAACCTAAACCACCAAGCGAACCCTAAACTTCTAAACCAGGAGCTCTACCGAAAGCGCGGGCACGAAGATGCAGTGCCGCCACTGCAAAGACAGATTCATTCGATGCCCGACCTGCACAGTGACCCTGCCAAGACCGAGGCAAGGTTGAAATCTGTTAGAATCTATTAGAGAATATAATATATTAGTGAAGTATAAGATAGCTTGTATATTGTAAGCCGTTTTTATAGCTTATCATAGTGCTCGGGAGTATTAGAGTATTATTACTAAGTTCACTTTCTGTACAGCATACGATAGTACGTTAGAATAGGGTTAGGACTTTCATACTTTCTGTTTGAGCAGCACAAGGGGTGCCATGGCACTAAGCCCTGAGCGGGTCGCAACTTCGATCCTCGCCTGATGCGCGCATAGCTCTGTGTGCTGGAACCGAAAGGGACGAATCATGATTTCAGTGGTGGGTCATCGTATTCCTGTTGTTTCTGAACATGATAGAGATGACAGCGCGACCCATGAAGACTCTACTGTACCCCCCGCCTTCCCACTTCAAACGTTGAGGGACGAGGCATGCTTGCAGCTGCTATCGAGACCGTTACCAGGTCACGGACCCTAAGCCCAAGACCACATTTTGCTGTCGGGTACTTCACTGAGGGAAGACTGGGCTTGTGAGAAGTGCGAAGTGTTGTTACAGCATGCAGAACACCAGAGTCTTTCGACAATCTTTATGATCAAACTTTAGGTGCATGTCGTATCTCCAAAGCAGACCGCGCCGTGAGCATAGTTCTCTGCAATGCGAGAGGGAGAAACATTTTTCGCTTCGAGTGTACGAGTGCGAGCGCCGAAACCTGCACACCCGAAACCGCTTCTTTCGCGAAACCAAAAACCGGCAACGGCAACAGCCCTAAGACGATCGCACGCACCTCGTTGCCATATGGGAGGCCTCGCAGCGATATAACGATGACGTTGATCGGTTGCTACGGCGACTATTGGTGGTTCGGGCCCTAGTTGATGTTGGTTCGGCGATTTGCGAAGTTTAGAGCTTGGGTGAACCCTAGTCGAAAGGAGTTCATGGGAGAGAGTGATGAGTAATGGCATAGGATGCCATCGTGCTCGCTGGAGCCTCTAGCCCCAGCCAATGCTTGCCACCTGCTGCACAGAACATGAATGCAAAACTTGATAGGATTGAGGGTCTGCGGGTCCCGGCTGTGTTACCTGGTTTTCGTCGTGCTACACTGCAGGATGTCAACATCTCGCACAAGTCTTTGCCGTCTTTGCCAGCACAGCGTCAGATCTGCACCCATTTGGACAAGGCCTGGCTTCTTCGGCAGATCTGTTTTGATCTATGCCTTCTACCAGCTACGACTGTGCACTTACACGCAAGCCCGGCGTAAGGTGCACACTTGGTTCGACCGAAGTCGGAGTGCTGCGAAAGACTTGATGGAGAGTGGTGGGGCCAAGAAGCCCTCGACAGCAAAGTCGCCGACACAGGCAGCACGGCGCTGCATTGTATACCGTATCATAGTTTGTTATAAAACTATATATTATATATTTGAATATATCTTATGATCTCATGTTATATTAACTTATAAACTGTGTATTTACAGTTTGCAAGCTTGATGTCGTACACAGCAAAACTATGCTATATTATTCTGTTCTGAACCGTACTATGGTAGTTTAACACATTCGGTTCTTTATGTTACATGGCAGTATGTTATATGGTACTGTATGTGATTGCATCATGTTATGCTGTTATGTTGCGTTTGGTTCTAGCATTTTCTGTTCCCCTAGATGATGGTATTACCTTACATTGCATGCAACCACGTTGTTCTACATATTACATGTAGTTTCACTATTCTACATTCTGTTACATTATATACTAAAGCATAATCAGCATTATAATAAATTATATTGCGTTCAATTGTGTGGTATTACATTACAACACTAATTATACAGTTTACATTGTACCAAAATAAGTACTACAAGATACTACTGATATGTGTATATATGCATATATATATATACACTTATGTATACTTGCTTATTTCTTACTTATGTTTCGAGTCGGTATGAAATTACATTATGCTTTCCAGAAGTGATATGAGGGATACCTTACTCAGGGTTTGCTCAGCATAAAGTTCCTATCTGTTAATGTTCTACGCGCGGTTCATCCCAAGTCAGGCCGGTATCTACCTGCCAGCTGGCAGCCCGCCTCTGCCTGGATCAGTGAAGTGGCAACGTCCCGAGCGCAAGAAGATGCTTGGCATCCCCTCTGGCGACCCTAAACCCTGAAGCCCACTCGCGCCAACAATGCGAGCAGAAGATGTAGAAGAGTTTCCGAAACGCCCAGACCCGAAAAGCTTCGCCTTGAGAGTCCGAGCTGTGAGAGTCCAAACCCTAATTGAACCCGAAACCTTGAGCCAAGACCCGAAACCGTAGCGCCGCTTCCGCTGCTTCTGGGCGCACCGCGCCTCTCAGGATCGCAAAAGCAGCCAAAGGAGACAGCAAACTGGAGCTGCTGGGCTCTGTCTGGGCAGTGTATCGTATCTCATACATATATATATATATATATACACATGCAATTATACATACACGCTCGAATTTAGCATGCTCGATTTGCAGACTCTGAGCTGGCACCCTCGTTGGCAATGGTTGGAGTCTCTGAACTCGAAAGCCAACTCCCTGAAGCGCCGAAAGGAGCTCTGAAGCTCAGGCATCGGCCGGAGTCTCCCGCAGCTCTCGATGATAGCCTGGCAGACTGCGAAACGGGCGATGAAGGAGAGCAACTTGGTATAGCTGTGTTTATACTGCTGTTACAGGGTTTCTCCGACTTCAATTGCGGATTCATGTGCAGACGTGGAGTTTGCGACCTCTCTCTTGCAAGAAGTTAGAACGTGAAGCAAGCGGAGCTATCTTGTTCTGGGCCAGGTGATCTTCATTTGCTTGCGAACAGGCCCAACAGGAAATGGGTCTGACCAGGTGCCATCAAGTGTACATAGCGCATCAAGTGGCCAGTGTAGGATGACGCTCATCCGAGGTTGCTGGATGCACTGAGCGACTCATGAGGGCAGACGAAAGCCTGTACAGACCTGTGGATTTTCCTGCCTCTTTGCAGAAGAGACGCCTCCACAGACGGCAATCGCATGCCAAGCCAGCCAGTGCTTGAACCAGCCGTGAGGTAGTGTTGAGTTGCTGGGTCTAGGATAGCGATGCCAGAGGAGCCAGCTAGGTGAAGATTGAAGTCAGCCCTAAGCCCTAAACCGGCGCTCCAACCTCAGATTCGGGAGTCTAGACCTCACTCAACGTCACTCGGCAAAAGCGCTGCAAGTGCATCCGAATTTCCGCGCTGAGAATTCAAGAGTCTGACCGGTCTCACCATCTTTCTTTGTCCACCTCCGAGGATGTTCGGGCTTCGTTAAGCTGTTTAAGCTGAAGGAGTTTGATTTGCTGTAGTGCTTGGGACTTAGAGATTCTTCTAAAGCAGTACATTGACAAGTTAGTGCGAGAGCTTATTGCCGGCCCATGTCGATCACATCTTAGCTCGTGGCCTCTCATGTTTTAGACTCTCTGCACATTGACGGCGATGACAATATGCATGAACACATGTATACATATATATATATATGTACATAGATAAGTACGGATCTGCATGGCTCGTGCATAGATCGATCGATAGACAGACAGATAGAGAGACAGCTCGATACATACATCCATACATACATACATACATACATATATAGATACTGTTTGTTTCTAATTAAACTAATTAAACCATATATATATATGTATGTTTGGATGTATGTGTAGCGGATGCTTCGGTTGTACGAGCGATCGACGGCATGGTGCAAAGCTGACTGTAAGCAACTAGCAGCTTGGGTGAGCACCCGGCGAATCATGTAGATTAGATCTTGAGTTAGGAGTGCTATCTTAAGTTGGGAGTTCACCAACTCTTGCAGCGGATGAGATAGTGCTGCATCTGCGACAGTAGCTCCAAAGTTTCGTGCCCTTGGCTAGTTGCACCTCGTTGGTGAGAGCTCATTTCTGTTTCAGACACGTTGATCGCCCTGGGACTTTAGTAGAGGGCTTGGCTTCTTCTCCAGCAAGAGGCTATCCCCTGCAATACCAACACACGGTAGTTCCGGCAGTACTTCAGCGAAGCTGCGTACTGCGTCAGCTGCAGCATCCTTGTCAGACTTGTTTGCTGACCATGTTGGGTCTAGCTAGTCCTAGCATGGGCTTTTCTAGCATGAAGACTGAGCTGCAGATGATTCGATTTTTGAAGATGATTGTTTGTTCTTCCAGTGCGTTTGATGTGGCTTCGCGCTTGCATGAAGCAGTTTGGATTCTGCATCCTTGTGCTCGCTACCTCCAATGGAGTGCGGGCGTGTGCCGGGTCTGCGGCACCAGCTCTTCCTGGGCCAGAAAGCCCTACAGCACAATAAACTCTAACCCGCTCATAAGCCCTTAGCCCCAAAATCCCAAGCCGCCCAGAGGAGAGCTTGTTTGTTTTGGGATGGATGATGTCCTGCTTCGAACCCAGACGGGTCGGAGCCTGTAGGTCGTTCAGGGCCCAAGCAACCCCAAGACTGTCTAGTACTGTACTGTACTGAGATGCAGTATTAGAGTCGTATAGCTACTCACTTATCAAAGCTGGCTTTTTATCCTGAAGCTGTCATGGTTTGTATGTCCAGATGTGAGGGGGTGCCTGGGTTTCTATAGGAGACGGGTTGATCATGTGGCACAGCGGGGCAGAAGCACCCAGCCTGTGCTGCTGCATTGCGTTTTTGAGCATTGCTGCTCAACGCCGTCATAGGCATAGGCAAAAAGTGGCTCTGGTGCCTATTACGATACGCCATCATGTAGCATATTGTGCTATGCCGAACTGATTACCGCGTCATAGTTGGTCGGCGTATGCACCAATGTGCTATGCACATAGCACAGCAATCAGCATACTAAGTAGACAAACATGCACACATTCGGAAATCCCACCAATCTTGCTTGGCATTTTGCGGCCCGAGGCGTCACAACCCAGGCTGCTGCCAAGAACTCGGCATGAAAGTGTGTACTTTCTCAGAGCTTGGCGGGTAGACTTGTGGATTTAGAGCAGGCAGGTGCTTTGACATGACAGATTGCGTGAGTCATACTGGCAAAGCTTTTCGTACTGAGCCGGAGTGCCCTGCAACCCTGCTGTCTACGGCTTTATCATGCCAGGTTGCTGCAGCCTATTCTTTGATAGACTTTGAAAAAGACCGCGGGCCTGACAAATCGAAAAGTGTACCAAGGTAAACAGACCCTAACACTTCCTGATTCCTAAACCCTACAGTGCACCCAGTGCCTGCAAGCCCCATATTGGGCATTTGCATCCCTGCAAGGCTGTGGCCACAGCAGTACCAGCCATGCAGGAGGACCTGCCGGCTCTTGGGTCTTGGCATTTTCGGGTTTAGGATTTGGGGTTTAGGGCTTAGGATTTGGGGTTTTGGGCTTAGGATTTGGGGTCTAGGGCTTAGACGAGTCCACAGCACAGTCGGCGCCTTGGTTCCTGGCATATGCGTAGTCCAGGTGTAAAAAGGGGGTGCTTGGCGATGTCACGAATCGCTGTGGCAACCTTCGGTGCAGCTGGGTCACGACACCACAGATCAACGAGCAAGGGGGCACAGGAAATGGATTCGCTGATACAAAGTGGGGAAGCCTTCAAACTCCGGCTGCTCTATCTCGAAACCGCCCCAACTTTCCCTAAATTCCAGTTGACTCGGCCGCGTTAGCAATTCATCTGGCATGAACATGAAAAATCCCAAATCACGGGTAGTTGAAGAGGGGGCGCGAGGGAGGCCCAAGAACATGTTCACCCGTAGGCTAGACCATGTGTGCCATTCCTCATGCACTACCCAGCGACACACTTTGTAATATGGCTTCTGCAGATGGAAAACAACCGACAAACATCTGAGAAGATTGAGATCTTCTGTCCGGCAGGACAAGGCCTATGAGCGTCTCTGTGTGGACTATCAACACTTGCTGCTCCCTCAGAGGAAGGAAACTGCATGAGCGTTCGAGGATGTAAAGCCCCAAGCCACACTAAGCTGCAATGGCCGTCATGGAGACACATGAACCCACCCGCACAACCAACTCGAAGCTGCAGGGTTCGGAGGTCTTCAGATGGTTTAGGGACCACGCGACCTGGCATGAGTAGCGGACAGATGAAACTGCGCGCGCGTGTACCACCGTACCACCTTCCAAGAGATGGAAGGAGTGAGTTGCCTTGGCACCATCTGCCCGCGTTGCACAGACCATCTGACGCACACCCTCTTCCTTACGCAGATTCTCAACATGCATGTACGCGTGCACTGTGTACATATATATATATATATATATATATATTATATAAACCAAGGTACACTTAATTAGATAGCTCTCGCGCTCTCTCGGTCTTGATTTGTCTATCCATATATCTGTTTATATATATATATATAACTATCTGTCTATCTATCTATCTATCCATCCATCTGTCTATCTATCTGTCGATCTATCTATCTATGGTGTTAAATTAGATTGTAGGACATTGTTCATGACATGGTATGATATGTCATCAAGATAATGGGTTATGTTTTGCGCGTCTTACCTTACCTTATCTTTTGTCATATCACGGGCTTATATCTAATCCGATACTGTCTAATATTTCCCGATCTGTTATCTGGTGTTATTTTGTGGTTACGGACATTGTGATACACTGTCCTATCTCATCTTTGTTATACTGGGTTATGTCATCTTACGCATGCATGTCTGTATATATATATATATACATACGCATACATGTTTATGCCTATTTATGCCTATTTGTGTATTTACTTGCCTTTTTGTTTATTTGTTCATGTACTCATCAATGTGTCCATTTTGTCTGGTTGTATAACTTACTAAAGTACATCATATGACGGTTCAATCTGTGATCTTACACTTCGATTGATCGTATTAGTTTCTCTTCTCTCATGTTGTACTATGTTGTCTTATGCCATGTGCTCTGATGATGGTCTGATTATGAATTAAATCATGTTGCTTTTCAAGTTGCCACCAAGTTGGCTCTTGGCTCTTAAGCAGTTGAACAGTTCAGGCTGTTTCTTCTGGAGCGTGCGGCCGTGTGCAGCGCAAGCTCGCTTGCGACTTCCACTCCGAACACGGCCGACAAAGGCGGGCCGAAAACACAGTTTGAAGCCGTGGATCGGAGTATCAGGGGCTCCAGCACCAGACAGAGCACACATATCAATACCTGGTGGTTAAGAATCTCATGGTGGCCGTGCATGCTGACCCCTGGAATCTGTCGGTTTTCGCTATGCTTGTGATAGAATGCCCTTCTTTGCCGATTCGCTATTCGAAAAATATTGCTACGACGGCCTGTGCTGAGGCCTTTCTGGCTGTCGTCTCTATGCCGCTGCCATTCCTCCTGCTCCTTCTTTTCTTCTCAGTTGTTCATTCCCTGACCGCACGCATTGAACTAAAGCTGCAGGTGCAGCCGCCTTCTTGCGAAGGCACGGGCTCTGCAATCACTGCCCGTTGTGAATTGCCCCGAAGTAGACGTGAGGATCTCTGGTCTGTCGCTCGCAACAGAGTCCCGAAGACTGAGCCATTGATTAGTTGCAGGCCATCGAGTGATGCTTTATGATGCCCTAAACCCCATGGCTACGGCCCAAGCGACCATTCATGGGTAGCTCTGCAGCGCGTGGACTTTGCCTTAGCAATGGCGGAGGGTGAGGATGAGATCCCTGACGCGCCGGTCGAGGTTGAGGAGGACGGTCAGGGTGCAGCACCGCAACCGCCACAAGAAGCAGAGACCGGAGGAGAAGGGGCAGCAGACGGTGCAGATGCAGCTCCAGCTGCTGCTGAAGGTGCTGCAGAGGAGGCACCGCAAGAAGAGGCTGCACCTGCTGCGCCGGCAGCTGGGGAGGGCCCTGGCGAGGCAGCCATCGACCTCGTGATTCTACCAGAGGGCTATGGTCAGACCAAGCAGATTAATATCGACCGCCCCGTGGGAAAGATCCGTGGTGACTTGGAGGCAGAGTTAAGCATTCCGGACAAGTCCCTGTATCTCATGAATTTGTCTGGCGCAGTTGAGTTCAAGCAAGTGCTCCCCGATGACAAAACCCTCCGCGATCTTGGTCTCAAGCCTGGAGATCGGGCTGGAATCGAGCTCCGCATCAACTACTACCAGGAGCAACCTGCCGAGGAGTACGTGATGCCGGACATGCTCGACCTCAAGGTCGTCAACGAACACGGCGAGGAGAGGATGGTTACAGTTCACGTGCAAAGGCCCGTGATGGAGAAGCCTTACCTGGGTGGATTCCGGAACAAAGTGACAGACTCCATGTACCATCATGCAGTCACCCAGACAGCCCCGGTGCAGAAGAAGGATGTGCACACACTTCGCTTTCATCGCGAGGCGCAGACCTATGAGTACCGGACGCGCTCAACGCAGTGCAAGCGGGACAACGGGACGCAGATGGACAAGGTCGGACTCTATATCGATTGCCGCGGTGACAAGCTGATGGAGCCCCGAAGACCCTACTTCAGCAGTGCGGACAAGGCAGCTCTCTTGCTAGAGAAGTGCGTGATGATCCAGTGCCATGCCAGAGGCATGCTGGCTCGGCGGCGCACCCGGCAGCTTCGGCAGATGCGTCAGGAGCGCCACGAGCTGGCGCGGAAGGAAGCAGAGAGAAGGCAGCTAGAAGCCGACCTGCGGCACAAGAGAGAGGTCGAGCGCCGAATGCATCCACGAACCTTCGAGGACTTCAGCGTGCTCTACAAGGAGCTGGAGGCTTGGCGCGTGAACGAAGCCGCGCGAATCCAGACCTCGGGTTTCGACGAGGCCACTCGTCGAGCTGCACAGCATGAGCTCCTGCGCAAGGAGACGAAGCTCCTGCAGACAATTGACAAGCTGAAGATCCAGGCACACACCTCGAACAGAGATGCGAAGATCAAGAGCAAGCTCGAGTCGATGTCGCAGCCGAAAGTTTGGGCGCAGGGTGATGGTGAAACCACCACTGTCCACACTCCCTTCACCACAAGAGCTAAGGAGCTCATGGACCTCTACAGCGGCCTCCGGCTCCCTTTGCTGACGGTCGATGAGCGCTTGGACGTTCTGCTGCACGTGAAGTGGACGGTCAAGGAGTTCGACTGCAACCTGACGCGTGAGATGGTCGACTTGATCGACAGGGAGGCCGACATGCTGAACAGGGGTCGTCCAGAGAAATCCTTCGTAGGTCTTCGGAAACGCCTTGCGAATCTCTTCCTCCAGTTCATCGAGACGCCGGAGTTTAACCCAGAAGCCATGAAGTTCCAGAAGGTCTCCCGTGAGTTCTATGACCAAACTGGCACCCATCCACTGAGCACCGTCCCGATAAAGGCTCTAGGAAGCTGAAAGTTAGCGTCTCACCAGGCCTGAACCATCAATGTGACATTCCCGACAGGTGACTCGAAAGCAGCACAGGATGTGGGCTGCTCTCACCATTTGTTCGTCTCACCTTGTGCAGGAATTGGCCAAATCTAGCCCAAGATCAGCATGCGCAAGGTTGTTGAACCGGAAGTCGAACATAATCACCCTTCGGTGCACACCCCTTTGCGCTGTGAGGGACATTGTGGGAACCTGATATGTGCAAATGTTCTAGCCAGTTTCACGTGATCTTGGGTTGCTTGCTGCTGAAGCTAGCTGCAGGCTCCTGCCCTCTCGTCTCACCAGAAGCTAGGTAGGCCCTTGAGATGTCATAAATTTCCTGTATTTTTCTTAAGAAAACCTTATTTGCTCATATCTTTCAATGGCTGTAACGGGCCAACCTGGCAAGTCATGGAGTGCAAGACGTCCGAAACAAAAACGTCCAGCGCAAGACACTTCAGGAGATTCCGACTCGCAACTCTAGAAAGAATCTCTGAGACTCCCTACTATAGGGGCTTAGATAAATACTATTTTGTGGGTTCCTTATTATAGTTATAGTATAAGGGGCCCCTATTACTATATTACGCTTCTGCTTTTTGTTGGGCAGGCTTGGGGACATGGCCCTGGCCGAACGCTCGAGCCGCCCCTCGCTGGGGGCACCGACTCCGAATGGCTCCACTCTCTCCAAGGCTGCCTCAGTTTGAGTCTATAGGCTTTCAAGGCTCAGCCCTAGAGCCATACAGCAAGTTCAGCGCTCTGGGATTTCCAACTTCTTCGATGAGTGACCTTCGCCGGCCAAACATGCTGCTTCGTCCTTGAAGGATCATCCGCCCACAACCCCCGACAAGCGCCACAGCTGCCTGGACGACCTCAGCAACCCGGCGCTCGTTTCAGGAGGAGGTGGTGTCTTTATAATCGCTGTATACACGTATGTATGTATGTATGTATGTATGTATGTATGTATGTATGTATGTATGTAGGTATGTAGGTATGTATGAATGTATGTAGACATGTATGTATGTACGTATGTATGTATGCATGTATGTATGAATGTATGTAGACATGTATGTATGTATGTATGTATGTATGTATGTATGTATGTATGTATGTATGTATGTAATGTTATGTAATGAAACGAAATGAAATGCAAGGCCATGCAATGTAATGTCATGTATTGTAATTGCATTGTAACTGTATTGCAATTGTATTGTAATGTAATTGTAATTTTAATTGTAGTTGTAAGTGTAACTGTAGCTGTAGCTGTAGCTGTAGCTGTAACTGTAACTGTAACTGTAACTGTAATTGTATTGTGTTGTTATGTATGTATGTATGTATGTATGTATGTATGTATGTATGTATGTATGTATGTGTGTATACGTATGTGTGTATGTCTGTATGTCTGTCTGTCTGTCCGTCTGTCTGTCTCTGTCTGTCTGTGTGTGTATGTCTGTATGTATGTACGCATGTATGTATGTGCATGCGTTCATGCATGGGGTGTATGTATGTAATGTAAGGTAAGTGTGTAGAGAAAGCAACGGAATGCAAGGCAAGGTAAGGTGAGGTAACGTATTAAAGTAATACTGTATATACTCATTATTGTATGTACCTGCATAAAGGCATGCATGACATATTGGCACGCATGCTTCATGCATGTATTCACGGAGGGGCGAGAGGGTGCACGCTGTATGCGCGGATACTTGCGTGCCAGCATGGTATGTAGTATAGATCACGCGAAGCACGTCTGCATTTATGTAGGCAGGTACCGCACAAGCAAATGCACATGCCCACGAACGAATGTAGTGTAAACATGCAGACTTGAATCTAGCAGACGGTCAGCTAGGCTCGAGGAGAAGAACATGAAGGAACGGGTCCGATCAAGATAAGCTGTTGCAACCTTCGACAGCTCAGGTGATCTGGGAAATCCCAGCGAGGCTGGATTTGAGGCTCTGCAGGTGAAGGTGTTGCCTCTTTAGGATTGCAGAGGGTTTTTAGCCTAGTTAGGCTCGTTGTTCACACTGTAAAGGTTGGAACGTCGGCCTTGCACTCACGGACACTCCTCTTCGGTCAGGCTGGCGATGGGCCGTCTGACATGGAAACGGAGGGTGGCAATGCAGCCAAGTGAATGGTCTGCTTGCCGTTTATGGGCATCTACAAGTGTTTTGTGAAACCAGTATCACAGCGGCAGCTTCGAATTTGCTGCCTGTAATCTTCAGCAAAGGGCCAGATTTCAGAGAGAGGAGAAGAAGAGCATGAATTTGATGGGACACGTTCCATCATTAGTCAACACGCGGTGAATTTCGCGTCAATCCAAAACAAACAAAATGGGAGGCGAGGTGACAATCCGCTGCGGGGATGCGCGGTCCCCTGGACGGCTGTTTCACAGGTTTGGGCGGCTTCGTACCATCAGGCCTCGCAGTACTGGGCCGCTGTGGCCGTTTGAAAAGACTAAAGGTCCTTTTCATCCCGCAGATATGAACTTGTAAACGCCGGAGCGTCATTCGTGCGCGCAAGAACGTGTTTCTCAGAGTGACAAGTGAAGCCTGGAGGTCTGTTTCGCCTTTGCACATAATTGGAATGCACAATTGACTGGGGGGCACTTGGGGCAGTGCCGGATCTACTCGTGAGGTCAGACGATGTTCTTTAATGTCCTGGTGCGACATACAAGTCGCAAAGCGAATGTAGGCTGACACGACACGAGGCCCTGGGAAAAAAGGGGGCCGACTACCACCTTGGAAACGTGGGGTCGCTCGCATGGTCGGAGGTGCTCTCTAGCTCTTTGGTTCCTTGGACCGACATAGGTCGTAGAATGCACAGGGTCAGCATAGCAGCGCATCCTTTCTGTGGCGGCGTCTCGCATATTCGCAGTGCATCTCGTGATGACCAAGCCGTGTGCATACGGTAAAGATCGTGATTGTACTCATGGCGTCTAGATTGCAACGATGTCGACTGCGGAATGCCTAGTTCCCTGAACCTTGAACGCCACATGAGAATACCGGAGTGAATGTCAAATCAGGGGCAGATGGAGGCCACTCGCAGCCCACATCTGACCCACAAGTCTCTCGTCAAACAGATCTGAAGCTTCACATAATTCGGGAGTCCAAGGTTAATGGGTAATATATAGTAAGATACTATACACGTGCTATAAGATACTATAATATACTAAAGTATACTGTAACATAACTATAATTCTGCGACCACCTCATGGCCTTGGTCATCGGCGGATTTGACGAGGCCTGTCCCACCATCTTCTACTGTTGCTCGTGTCATTGTGTTTGTTGTTTGCGAGCGCTTGTGGTACTAGGGGTGCTGGTACTACGGCTGATGATATAAATCCTCCATTACCCTTAACAAGGAATATGCAACAATTCCCATAGTTTAGGGTCCTTAAGGTAATGCAGGACTTACATCATCAACAGTAGTAGTACTAGTAGTAGGTGGGCCACTTCTGTTTGATTGCACGGCTTGGTTTTTTGAAGCTCTTCAATCGTGTCGAGGCGTGATGTCCTTCCGGCAGCATGGCATCCAGGGCCAGAGCGAGGCCCTGCTGCAAAAGCATGAACCTACATGTTAGGGGTTTAGGGTTTAGGGGTTAGGGGTTTTTAGGGTTTAGGGGTTTGGGGGTTTGGGGTTTAGGGTATGTGGCCTCTTTCTAGCGTCAGTATCTAACTCTCCTGAGAAACACCTGCTAGTTCCACCGTCATGCAAATGTGTGAATATTCAGTCTATATCATGATATACATATTCATGTGTTACGTATGTTATATATATATATACATGTGTACAACTATATATATATATATATATGTATATCCATTTCCATTTCCGGGCAATGAGTCCGAGTCTGACGCAGCCAAGGAAACATGCATTACTTAGAAAGTGAAACGAGAGACACCCCCTAGAAAGTTGCTGATCCAATACAATTATACATATATATATATATATATGCATGTGCATGTGCATGTGTATACGCATATGTATGTACGAATGTATGTATGTATGTATGTGCGTGTGTATATATTGTTACACATGCATGGACAGAGTAAACTGTCAGCAGTCTCTCACAGTCGGTGACCCGACTTCCCGTTTCGCAGACCAGAATGTCGTCTCATTGTCGACTGCTGTGCTGATGTCTAACCCCTTCATTCCAGAGGCGTGGGCGAAGCTCTATGCCAAAAGAGACAGGGAGGCATCGGCTCTTCTGCTTTCAGGGTCTTCAAGTCTTGCATGGGCTCGCGGCGGCAAAGCCTTTCCAGGCCATGACAGTGGCGAACCCGAAGGACACTTTGCGCAAGATGTACGACAAGCTGGTGCGCGTTGTGCTTCCGATGTGTTATGTCGGTACTTCTACGCATGATCATGTTTTGATCCCTGCCGTGCCGCTCAAAAACTTCAGCATGAGTTTCCGTGTGCAAGTCTATGCATGCAGCGGCTCACCTCACGTCTCGGTTCATAGAGTCGTAAGCTATAAACCGTTTATAAACCATCAGAATCCTGACTCACGACTCCAAAGCCAGTCCAAAGCGGCCGTTTCCATCAGGTGACTCCGCAGCTGCTAAAGCGCGGAGCCCACGTGCCACTGCCCTTCGAGGCCGATTCTGCGTAGAGAGCAAAGCAGAGCAATCCTAGGCTTTAGGGGCTTTAGGGTTTAGGGTTCAGCAATCCCGACTTGATTTGAAGGTTTACTTCAGGCTGGAGAAATTTCCGTTTGAAGGGTGAGTCTCGAGATTGTAAGTCGGGCTATTGGTTCAGAAAGCTCCATATAGGCTTCTTAGGACCTACTAGACCGTGTAAGAAATCTTGTGCCACAGTGTCGTTCTTGGGGAGACTTTCATGATCTGGTGTAAGGTCTTCGAGATCAAGCACCCATGACGAAAACGCAACGGGAGCATGCCCATCAATCTGCAGTTCGCACTGAGCTGATGACGATGACGGGCTATCCTTTAATGTAAAATAGACTAATGACCCTCTGGATGCAACGGCAGAGAGAGAGAGAGAGAGAGATACTATAAGATCTCCTCTCTCCTTGGCTGTGTGGAAGAAGAGATACTATAATGTACTATTCTTGGGTGTGCCCTGCAGGAGATCGGAAACCTGGGAGTTGGAGTGTGAGACCTGTCGTTGCAGGACGATAGTGAGCCGACAAATGCCGGCAAAGAGAAGGAGAAGGTCCAGAAGAAGAAGAAGAAGGAGGAGGCCTTCAGTGTTGCCAAAGTTATAGGTGGATCCTGATTAGCTTTAGTATAATCTAGGTGTGTTCCTTACTTCAGGTGTTTTAGAGACCTTCAGCGGTTTTGAAGGAGTTTCATAGGCATGCCTTATATGGAGGGTCCTTACAACTGGGGTCCTCCAACTCAGTTCCCCTGTTTCCTGAGACCCATAGCCCCTAGATTCATGGATTTCGGCTTCGAGATCTTTACTTGAAGGTTGAGCTACAGATTCCGGTCTACACCCTAGTCCTAGCCTCCCACATGTAAGCAGTGCCGGCTACCATGATTTCGTTGCGAGGAGAAGCAGCAATCCAAGAAAGACAAGTCGGCAGCCTTAGGATTCATTGATTCAGTCGGCAGTAAGTCGAAGGATCAAGTCTGTAGCCAGCCCACTCAGGAAGAGCAAGAAGAAGAAGAAGGCCAAGAAGGCTCCAGAGATTGGGGTCACTCGTCTAGGGTTCAAGGTTGCGGCGTTTGCGCAGATAGGGAGATACCTCATGGCAGAGAGCGGCGTCGGTGGTTCGTGCTCGCTCCACAAGCCGCGTCAAGCATGATACATAGTAAGTAAGGTTGTAAGTACCCTAATTGGGGTTATATTTATAGTTCTTAGAGCAATGCTGTAGCCGAGTTTGATGTCCAGCCGTTTGCCGTTTGCGGAAGGCCCAAAAGCTTTCCCTTCCCAACGGGCCAAACCAACCTACCAACCAAGCCAGGAGGCAAAACCCCAAAGACAAGTTACACAGAATACATAGTAGATACATCCTTGGCCGTACGCAATTACACACTCTGCTCACTGTTGCCACAGGCCAAGTCTTCGAGTAGCCGTGGCCCCAGCAAGCTCGGCAGAGTCTTGGTTAATGTAGCGGCCTCAATAATTACCCATACTATTTTGGGGGAGTTCCTTAATACAGTATAAGGTCCCTATAGTATGTTGTTTCTTCGGTGGCTTTGTGTTGAGGGAGCACAAACGCAAGACAACATTACTGTGATGCCCTCTTTTGCGTCGGCTGTGCTGACGCGCCCCAGCTTCATCGCCGAATGACTCTAGACGCAGAGTACGACATGGTCGAGCTGGATTCAGGCGTCTCCTGAGGGCATGGCGCAAGATGTCGCACTGACCTATCTTAGCGAGTCCTTCGGATTCGCCTGCCTGAGCAACAAGATCTGCTTTAGCACTCTGGTATTCCTATATTCAGACAAGACGAAGCCGAAGATGATGCCTGAGTCTAGAAACCCAAGGGAGCTAGGGCAGAGCAGCGCCGAAGTAGACCCTGCTCTTGGCACTTAGTGTACACCGATCCTTGACTCTTAGGCTCCACCAGCTCCAGCTCTTCCTCTTCGCGTGCCCGCCATGTTTCAGATTCGTTAGGGTATCCTAAGCCCCCTACCTTGTTAGGGCTCCTTCCTATGATTTCCTCATCTAAGCCCTTAAGAAGGTACCTAGGTCCTCTGGGGGCTAAGGTAAACAAACCCCCTAAACCTGGAACCATATACTGAAAGCCGGCTCGGGCGCACCAGGTCGGCAGGAGCCCGTAAATACTCATCTGAATTATGGTTTGGGGGGGTTTAGGAAGTTGAGCTTAGAAGGCCTATCCCTTAAACCCTAAGCACTAAGCCCTAAACGGCAAGATAGCCGGTGGGCATAGATCCTGTCCTAGCCATGCGAGACAGAAACAAACGGCAAGATACCCCAAGACCACTCGGGCTGGAGGCCTTACCGTAGACGTCATAATACAATATAATAGCATGAGATATTAAAATGTAATATAGTCAGTGCAAGCCTGCCTCAAGGTTATGAAGATGCAGCCCTTCCGAGCTTGAACGGCGCAGTGACGTTTCTGAAAGATGCATATCTAAAGCAGCTCGCTTGGGAAAGATATGCATGCATGTGTGCAATGTTCTGATCTGGTGCCGCGCTTCCTTTGTATTGGCAGGTCCTCGACCACTACAGATCGAAAGAAGAGGAAGAAGACCGCTCGTGAATAAAAAAGCGCCAGCAAGATACATGAGGGCTCCATGCCAGCTGCAATGCAACGCATTTGGACCATGCGGACTGCTGGCTTGGGACGCAGATTTGCAAAGCTGCACACCGCTCATCCACTGTAGGCCGGAAATGCCGGAATCTTACTATCAAAGACACTAAGCCAGATTCCGCACCTTTGTGCCAATTGTGCGTTGGGTCTAGCAAAGCCAGGACCGCTGGAGTTTCAGGCTGAGGCTATCGGATTTCGGCGAAGTCGTGGCTTACGAGACGACTTGCCGTCCTAGCTTAACGGTTCGGCGCCATACTTGCATGTTGGCGCATCATAGGTTCACATATGCCCATGGCTGTCCGAGACCGGCAAGGCCTGAGCAGAAGGCAGGTTACATGAGTTGTGCAGACTCCTCCAACAAGGGTCCTTATTGCATCACCTGTCTTTCCAATAGTATCACTCCGTAGAGTCGTAGAGTTCCCTTATATAAAACGTATATACTTGCAGTAGAAAGCGCCGCAAGCCTTAGTCCAATTATTCAGGCTCGTGTCTTACTCTTGAACTGTCTTCTTTCGTAGGAGCCAGCAGCTTATTTCTTGTCCGAACCGATCATTATTTACTAGTGTAGCTCCGCTCTGGGCGCTGCATGTGAAGTCGGTGTAGTGGTTTCAGTAGTCTCTTTTCTCGCATGTCACTTCATTGTAGGTACACGCACATAGCGGAATCGCTGTGCCTTGCGTCGCGGCTGACAGGTGACTGAGTCCGTGTGTGAGAGAGAGAGAGAGAGAGAGAGAGCGAGAGAGAGAGAGAGAGAGCTCCGCTCTTGACAGGCTGTGGGATAACTAACGTTTCAGTCATGACTCCCATTTGGGCAGGGAAACTCCGCTATCCAGCACGAATATGCACTCGTAGAGAAATGGTGTTACTGGGCAGTGTCTCCATAGTTTGGTAGCTAGATGACCATCTGCTCGTCCAAAGCCATGTGAATGCAGTGGGCTCTTTGATGCCATCAGGCCAGGTTCCGGGCAACACTGGAAAGTCCGATCTGCACTGCTGATGCTGCCGTTGTCCTGGTGCCTACGCTTCCGCTTAAGTCTTGAGTCGTATTTCCTCTTCGTCGCTCTTCATGCTGCTTTCACTTCAACAGCCTGCTACAACATATCTGCGTGTATTCGTTTCGTTTCGTGGTATTGTGGAGTTGGCCATGGCTGCTGTCGCTTGGGGTGCTGTGGATGTTTAAGTTGCACAGTTTCCATGAGTCTTCTCCGGCTTCGCTGATTGGCACAGGTCTTTTCGTTGAGTTCTGGGAATCTGGGTGACGAGAAACTTCGGTCGAGGGCGCACTTGTCATGCTTGACATGAAATTCCACAGTTCAGTCCTATTCCACCTAGTGCATCACAGCTCCAGTGAATATGAGAGGGGAGATGCAAGCGTAAGTTTTCTTTAAAAGAAGTCAACGGCGACAGTATGTTTCCCTCTTTATTAGGCTTGAGGCAGCCATAGTGTGATTGACTAAGGCTCATCCTGGTTTCTGTCGGATTGGCTGGGTCACCAAGGCGAATCTTTCTCCTGCTGAGGTGTATTGTGGTTTGTACATCAAAGCAAATTTTATGCCACAGCGCTACATCATGCTATTCCCGAAGAGGCCAGTGCGTCGCTTGCGTTCACACAGCTTGCGGATTTGGAACGAGGCCCCCGTTGGCTCTTGGCGTGGAGTCTTGTTTAGGAGTGTGGGCATCGAGCCAGTGAGTCAGGAGAAGCAGCTGCGCAGGTGACTGCTGCTTGAATGAGTGCTCAGTGTCCGTATCTTTCGTTTAGCATCAAGCAGTATATCAGCGCCCGATTGCATGGCATGTGTGCCCACCATGTTAGAGGAATGGTTCATGATCCAAAACAGCCTGTAGCAGACCTGTGTGCAGCGACGGAGCAAGATGGCATACGTGGATAATGCCGATCAACATGCATTCTGCCCGATTTGCAGGGAGTTAAGGTGGGGGAGTGGCTCAAAAGCATATGACCTAACATTATCACTAAAGCTACTGCGGCTACTCTTGCCGAAACTGATAGATATTCTTGCCGGAGCGGCTATGAATGTTGTTATTGACAGTTTTGATGTAAGTCTGCTATTCTTACAGTCATAACCACATCCCCCTGAGGCCATACTGGACTCACGGGGTTGGCCAGACGGAGTGCTGTGATGAAACACTTGGTAAGTCTGGCTTTTTCCTGATCAAGTGCTTCGGACACAAGAAAGCCAGAACGATGCCACAGTTGTACCTTTTCTTTGCGAGCCTCGGCCCACCAACAGGCTCAGAGTACCGTCAGTACCTGACACCCTTGCAAGGTTTGCAGTCGAAGCAGGTCAAGAGCATGTTGAACTGGGACGGCGATTTCAACATCATTCTGACACATTTGCTCTGTGTGAGATGGGAGAGAAATGGTGAGCCCACAGGGAAGCAGTGCAAGGAGTTGCTATATAAGGAGGGATTGATTGACTACAAGAATGGATTGGTACATGGCGAAGTAACGGTGGACCGTCAGGACCTGGACGGAGATGACAAGAAGTCGAGGGCCACACAGATTCTCCGTCTTGCAAGGAAAATTTCACAGCGAACCGAAGACAGTCCATACAACCTCAGAGAAGTGGGCAGAAGTATGGCTTGTTCCAAACTCCAGCTCCCAGACAAAGACAACAAAGGTTCGTGTTTGCACTCCATCGGGTTTGATGCCGCTTCTGGAAGAATCGAGGTAAAGTTCAGTATGCAAGCTCGGAATGCCAAGGGCGATGACGGAATGTTTTGGGGTGAGCGTTTGGTTCGCCGCAAGAAAGACAACAGGTGGCCGGCACGGTATGTTATGGAAGAATATGTGGCGGACATCCATGTCCGAGAAGATGAAGATTGGGTACCGGAAGACTTGAAAAGTTCAGAACGCACATGGGATAAGTTGGCCCAGGACCTTGCAGATGATTTCGTGAAACACGGAAAGCTGATCTGCGACCCGTTCAAAGCCACGACTTGTCAGGTAGAGGTTGATAAACCTGAGCAACCTAAGGGTCTGAAGCGTTTCGCCTTGGAGCTTCGTGGCGGACACGAGGCCATTCCGCACTACTACCAGCATGACAAGCGTGATGCAAAGCCGGAGTTCGAACACAGTTCGTTTGACCATCCAGCATATCATGAGGCCATGTGGCCAAACACAGGGCGCCGCATTCAAGGAAGCCCTTGGACGCATTGCGTTACGAACAAGAATGGATACGGATTCTGGTCCACAAAGACGGAGGAGGCAGGTGAAGGTCGTCAAGGCGGCAATAGCTGGGAGCCACAGGCACAGCACTCCGCCGCCGCCTCCTCTTCCGCAGCTCCGCCGGGTGATGCCGCATGGCAGTGGCATCAAGACGACAATGGTCGGTATGATGCCTGGCAATGGCATCGAGAGGACAATGGTCGGTATCATGCAGAGGCCAATGGTCGGGATGATGCCCCGTGGCAGTGGCGTCGAGAGGCCCATGGTCGGGATGATGCCGCCTGGCAGTGGCATGGAGAGGACAATGGTCGGTTTCATGACGAGGCCAATGGTCGGGATGATGCCCCGTGGCAGTGGCGTCGAGAGGACAATGGTCGGTATCATGCAGAGGCCAATGGTCGGGATGATGCTACATGGCAATGGCGTCAAGAGGACAACGGCGCCTGGCAGTGGCATCGAGAGGACAATGGTCGGTATCATGCAGTGGCCAATGGTCGCGATGATGCCCCGTGGCAGTGGCGTCGAGAGGCCAATGGTCGGGATGATGCCGCCTGGCAGTGGCGTGGAGGGGACAATGGTCGGTATCATGCAGAGGCCAATGGTCGGGATGACGCTACATGGCAATGGCGTCAAGAGGACAATGGGGCCTGGTAGTGGCATGGAGAGGTATGATGCAGAGGCCAATGGCCGGGATAATGCTACATGGCAATCGCGTGGATACAGCAATGGTCGGGATGATTCTGCCTAACAGTGGCGTCGAGACGACAACGGTCGGGATGACGCCGCCTGGAGCTGCATTAAGACGGCGAGGTCAGGATGATGCCGCATGGCAGTGACGTTCAAGACGGCAACGGTTAACGGTTGGAGAAAGTTGGAGATGGTACTCGTACCAGCATCAAAAAAAGGGCTCTACATGCGACCCTGCCGATTACGATGATCGCGACACAACAGGGTGACGGCATCAAGACAGGGCAAGGGGGCCAGGACCTGGACAAGAGTTTAGCTTGTCGAGCAAACATGCCGCTATCAGTTTCACATTTCGGAATATGCTTGTACAGACCGCCTGAGATGCAAAAACATTCGCCCCTGTTGTCTTGTTGCTCCATTGGTTGGGCAGGACCCGGCCGCTAGCAGTTTGTCATTTCGGCATACCTTTGTACCGACAGCCTGAGGCCGAGGCACGAAAACCTTGTCCCCTGTTGTTTTTTTTTGCTTTGTTGATTCCTGTGTAGCGGGGGTTGTCTTTGTGGAATTGAGTGCAGCAGGGGTTTCAGCAGCTGTCGAGCTACGTATCTGCAGCACAGAACTGCATGAGCCCATGCGTCCATGCTGCAATCTGCAATCAGGTTGGAATGAACCCAGATGCGACACTGAGGGCTTTCATCGATTCCGGCGCCTCCAGCTGAAACCAAGGGCACAGGCTGTAGGATTCAAGGACGTGACTTTATGTCAGAATCTTCATGAGGAAGCTCAGCTGGAAACTGCATCGTTGCCGATTGTAGTCTTGCACACTCCACCAGTCCTGATATAGAGAAAACGCTTGAACCTCAAGTTGCCAAGCTTGTACAGGCCAGTGTTCCAATCGGCGCAGCCCCAATGCCGGATATCACGCAGCAATAGCCGATAGGAGTTCAGCGGTTTAGGCTTCTGGGTTACGGGCCAGGGCTGAAGGCTAAAGAAGTCCTTACAAGGATTAGTTGCTGCCATGCATCGTTTTGCTTGCAGAGGTGAGGAGTTGAATGAAACCAATCCTCACATCCACGCAGACACAAAGCTCAAACTGCAGCATGCCTAACCTGATCACAGTCTGAGCTCTGGAAGCTTTCTGCAGCACGGAAATCTATACGGAAATCTGATACTATTGAATCTCAGGGATCCGAAAGTCCACACGCCCGGGATATCGGCTTTCAGGATGTGCGTGATGCGGCCGGCAACAAAACCCTAAACCCTAAACCCTAAACTTTCTGATCGACATCTGCGCAGCGAACCTGTGCAAGCTGAAAATCGAACTCGACTTCGAGGCTCGGTGTTATGGTTTAGGGTTTAGGGTTTAGGGTTTAGCCTCCATAGTCCTGCCGGATGAGCCAGCAGGGTTTTAATTCGAGTTCTCCCAGCTCAATGGGAATGCATGCAAGGCCTGCAGAACTTGGAAATAGACTCGACTGGTAGCCCTACTAGGTGAGATCATAGTTCGATTCTCGTGTTACTGCTAGAATTTCAATTTGCGGGCGTAGTTCTCAAAGCTCATGCTACATGTAAGACTCGCTTGTCTTTCCTTTCTTGCCGGCAGCTCCCGACATTCGAAGCATAGTGATTTTGGACTGCGGAGGTGTGGAATTTAGCCACCCGGGTGCCGAAAATCTCAGCCTCCGGTGGTGGTGTTGACGGTGGCGGAAACAGGACGAAAACGGTGGAACTTGCACTGGAAACACGCTTGCCGTGTCACCTTGGTTCTCGGGCCATCGGAGATGCGAGGCCTCTTCAGGGGTCTGGGGTCCCTGTATAGGGGTGCCATTAGTTAATGCAGCTCGAACTCACAGGACGATATAAGAGCGTGATAAAGGGGCGTTGCTGGGTGTAGCTTCTGGACAAACGGTGTGGACAAAGCTGGTTGCCTGCCTATCCACGGCTCCAACATACAAGCACTGAGACATCCGTATACATGCATACGTACATAGTTGTACAGACATACATACATACATACATACATACATACAGACAGACATACATACACTGACACAAAGAATTATGCATGTGTTTTGGTTCCTTCGCTGCGTTCTATTTGTTCATCCGCGGTTGTTGTATGTAGTGTTCTCCTCTGAGCAGAGAAGCACAGAGACTTAGCAAGTAGGGCTGCAATCAGACTATGTACGTTATTCGGTGTGTTTGGAGCAAAGCCCTATACGCTTGAGATGTCGACGACAAGCAGGCTCAAGCTGAATGAGCCAGCACATTGCGTCTACAATGCCAGCTCTCTCGCCTCAGCGTACTGCCTTCTTGCCTCTTGCAACATCCGAGTCCGTCAGTGACAGTGGGAGCGAAGATGAACAGGGCCTTTGCCTTTCTCCATTCACAGCATGCGAAGATGGCGATCTATCAGACGACTGGCACGAGCTGGCGCAGAAGCTGAGAGAGGACTATCGCAAGGAATGCTTTGACGAAGACGGGCTGTTCCTGCAGTACGACGAAGACGACAAAAAGCAGGGCGGCAAGAGTGGCATTCGTACTGTTGACTGTTCCAACGCTATTAAAGTTTACGTGGACCTCGCCCCACAAGAGTTGAAGCGCGTGGACGACCAGAAAGAGCAATTCAGCCTGATCTTTGTGTTGCAGCTTTGGTGGCTGGATCCAAACTTGAAAACTTCCAGTCGAAGCTTCGTATCTCCCGGCCACTCCATAGACCTGGTGGCCCGACGTCTGAGAGGTGGGGGTTTCAGACAGTAGGTGTTCCTATATATAGATATATATATATATTTATATTTACTTCTTCTGTATGTATATATATAAATATAAATATATATATATATATATATGGTCAGCCCCCCCCCCCATGATCTACCTCCGTCTTTCTTGGGTATGTAAAACACATTGAAACCACCGTAAATACCGATGACTTTGCTGTTTTCAGAAACTCACAAATCCACCCAAAACTGTGTCACAAAATCGGTGGTTCGGAGCATAGCGAGACAA